AAAAAAAAATTTAGCTTAAGAATATAAAATATGAAAATAAATAAAAAATAAGTAAACAACGGTTAGGAGACGAAATATTGATATTCGTCGCACACATGTTTTAAAAAATAATAAAAACTTATCAAAACAACTATATTTTAAAATTTATAATATAAAATAAAATAAAAAACAAAAATAAATTGGTTTGCGCAACGCATGTATACAACTACACTTAAATAAACGAAAATCACGATTTAACGGTTATTTTAAATCTGATTTTGATGATTTTTTACAGCTACACTCCTTGACCCTATATGAATACAGTGAATGAATTCAATCTTCAATTTAAAATATTTACACTAATGGATACCACAAAATTTTATGTTATACTTAATAAAAGTATAAATAAACTCTAAGTGTTAGTGAATCTATTGTTTTGATGAGATACACATTATTTGAAACTAGTTTCAACGATCCAACCGTCAAACTTGTTTGTATATACTTTGAGATCGCATACGCTAAAAATAAAAAATAAAAAAAATTCAGAGATCAAGTAACGGGACAAAAGTTTTCGACGGTTATAAATGAAAAATCACAATTCAACGGTTATTTTAACTCCAATTTTGATGATTTTTTACAGCTACACGCCTTGACCCTATATGAATACAATGAATGAATTCAATCTTTAATTTAAAATATTTATACTAGTGGATACCACCTTATGTTATACTTAATGAAAGCATAAATAAACTCGAAGTGTTAGTGAATCTATTGTTTTGATGAGATACACATTCTATGAAACTAGTTTCAATGATCCAACCGTCAAACTTGTTTGTATATATTTTGAGATCGTATACGCCAAAAATCGTAAAAAACAAGCATTCAGATATCAAGTAACGGGACAAAACTTTTCAACGGTTATAAATGAAAAATCACAATTTAACGGTTATTTTAACTCTAATTTTGATATTTTTTTACAGCTACACTCCTTGACCCTATATGAATACAATGACTGAATTCGATCTTCAATTAAAATATTTACATTAGTGGATACTACAAAATCTTATATTATACTTAATGAAAGTATAAATAAACTCTTAAGTGTTAGTGAATTTATTGTTTTGATGAGATACGCATTATACGAAACTAGTTTCAACAATCCAACCGTCAAACTTGTTTGTATATACTTCGAGATCATATACGCCAAAAATTGAAAAAAATAAATATTCATAGATCAAGGAATGAGACAAAACTTTTAGACGGTTATAAACGAAAAATCACGATTTAATGGTTATTTCAACTCCGATTTTGATGATTTTTTACAGCTATACTCCTTGACCCTATATGAATATAATGAACTAATTTGATCGTCAATTTAAAATATATTTTTCTAACAAAAATCCAATCCAAACTACAATAATATATTTTTCTAACAAAAACCCCGATCAGAACTACAATAATAAATTTAAAGCTATTTAATAAGTATATATACCGTTCAATTTCTCAAGTGTTATACGTACAAAATAAAAAACGAAAATAAATTGGTTTAGGCGACGAAATATTTGAATTACGTTGCGCAAAGATTTAAATTTTTTTTTATTTTGTAAAGACTTTGCGCGACGAAGTTTAAAGTTTCGTCACGCAAAGTCACTTTGCATGACGATGTGTTCTTCGTTGTGCAAAATTTTGTCGCACAAGACTTTGCGCAATGAAGTTTAGAATTTTGTCGCGCAAAGTCACTTTGTGCAATGATGTGTTTTTCGTTGCGCATGACTTTGCGCAACGAAGTTTAGAGTTTCGCCGTGCAAAATATCGTCGCGCAAGAGTTTTTTTTTACTATTGCTTCTTACTTCTCATGTCATGTGTACTCCACTTGCACTTAAAATTAATATTTTAACTCTATTTTTTTTTTTCTGTCACTTAGTACTACATTCTAGTGGTATTCATCTTTACTTGTAAATGAATTATTATGGCTAAACCATTGTGAGACTTAGCTTACTCCCCTACCCCTTAGGCCTTCCACATTAGGCCAGAAAAAGTAAATGTGATACCAATCAAAAAGACCGTTGTCGCTACAGGACGACGAAATGGAGGGAATTTATTAATATTCTCCAACAAAGGTATTGTTAATAAGCCCGTAGGTATTAAAACCTATTAAAAAAACACCTAATAACTTATTTGGCATTGTACGAAGTATTTGAAATACTGGAAAGAAATACCATTCAAGCTTATTTCCAAAGGAGTTGCAAATGGATCCACAGGTTGACCAATCATTGATGGTTGTAGAAATAGTACCTAAAATTACTACCGGAAAAATATATAAAAGATCGTTGGGCTATGCGGGCTCTTCCAGTAGGCCTTAATTTTTTGTGCCATACCAATATGTTGAGAAAGTTGAAATGAGAAGATAAGTGAGAATGTTGATAGGACTTCTTTAAAATAATATAAAACCATTTGGCAAGCATTTTTAATATTAATCAACAGCCTCTCTCACAACTCCCATGATTTTTTTCATGGTGATCATTTTGGGGCGTGAACCGTGCTGAATATCATTGGATTCGTCTTCGTTTTCAGTTCCCTATCATTAATATCGATCATGAAAATTTCAACCCTAAAAAACTGTGGTTAGGATTTGGGATTAATCTAATCTAGGGTTCAGCCAGCCCATGTTCTAAACTATGTCTTCTCCAAGCCTCTTGAGTTGGTGATCACCGGTTGGTGGTGCTGTTGTCATCCTATCGCTAGTCCATTATTAGTTTACATGTACGACTTTTGGTATTGTGTGATTTGGCTTTATAAACAAGGTTATATGTTCAGTCGAGAAATATTAATTACAATTTAAATATGTATCTTTAATAAAGAACATTGCTTTGACTTCTTATATATTATATGTAGGTTTATTTTTCCTCTGCAAATTACGATTTGAGACATATGCATATATAACTCATTAAAAGTTGCAAAACAGAGTTTAGCGTTGCGTAAGAGTGAAAGAAAAGCTCTTGATAAAACGAAATCCCTTGCCGCTACCCGTGACTTGGCTTTGAGTCGGGCAGCCCTCTCGCTTTCCACCTCTTTCCCCTTAATTCTCTTTTCCCTTTCTAGTTCTTTTCTCCTAAGCCTACATTTCAAGTTTCCATTTGATTTGTTTGCGGCATTGTGGTGCGCTAGTTTTGAATGTGGTGGTGATTTTACCATGTAATAACAATGTAGGACTTTTCTTTTGATGGCTTGGGGCTAGGACAGGTAGGACTTTTCTTCTTAATAACAATTCATAAAACTCAGTATGATCTTACAATGTTCTGTTGTCTCACTATAGGCTAGTTGTTTTAAGTGTCAACAGACATCGCAACCAAGAGAAAATGTTGATCCAAATTATGAGTTAAAACTTTCAAGATAAATTCCATGAAATGTTGCAATTGACGGAAATGACCCTAATTCTCACCTAGAACCTTGAGATTAGTCACTGGAGAAGGTTTACCCATATTTGGCATTGGAAGAAATTGTTTTGCTCTTGGTTGCGATGTCTCTTGCAATTGGGTTGAATAATCATTTTTGCTCCTTCAAATTGTATTGCTTGAGCATTCCAAGTTTTTCGTTTCAAAATACATTATATTGTTTCTTATAAAAAAAAAGTATCATAAAAACAAAAAAATTTACACACATCAAAACGTGATTTATGAGTTTAACTCATCGACTAGAAGAATAATAAGAAATCTAAAACCATTCAGCTCCAAATTTCTTCCAAGTCACAACAGCTGTTCCTGATCATGTTCACTCTGTGAATGAAGGACCCATAAATGATAAATATGTACCTCCAAAAAAAAAAAAAAAAAAAAAAGGACCCTAAACGCAGTTGCCTTGTCTAGCGGTTGGAAGATACAGTCCAAATGTCTTTCAAAAAGATATTGGTGCCTACTGCAACAATTAAGTTTGGGCCTCAAAACAGCCGTACTATTTGTTTTGAGTATAAACCCTAGACGCCAACAAAATGCCGTGGGGCGATCCAGATTTATCACGGGTGTAGAAACTTTTAATCTCACCAGGAAGAAGAAGACAGAATATATCGCAGCCTGAAGTCAACAGGTACAGAAAATCTAACTATTCTGTATGTTCTTTAGTAAAGGGTGATAATTGTGGTAATTTATGTTGAAAATTACTCAACGTCCCGCATTGGAAAAATAACATATTTTTCACTGATTTAAGAGCTTTAGAGGAAGGGATTATAAGTCGGTGTTGTAGCGGCACGTTCTACTTCTGGGATCTTAGAAATTGATATTAATTAGGGGATTGTGAATCTGTGTTAACAGAAGGAAATGGTTGCCACTAGGTGGGACGCCGAGGATATAGATACGGAAGAGTGGTGATATTTTTAAGTCGGTTTCGTAGGGCACAGTTTTACCTATTAACTCTTAACAATCTGTATCAGAGTCTGATTTCGAGTCAATATGAACATTAGTAAATGAGTGACGATCACGTAGGTACAAAAGCGTGGTGGAATGTGTGAAACACCAGATTATAGGGTTTTTGTTTTTCTGATTTTTCCGTTTGGTTAAACGTCCCACTCAGGTTTAGACACTAAGTAGTGACCCCTCCACCTTGACAAGCCTGGTCTGTTCGTTGCTTCGATGTGGCTGATGGACGTTTACCCATCAACTCTTAACAATTTGTATCAGAGCCTGATTTCGAGTCAATGGATATTAGTAAATGAGTGATTCACTCATCCTAGGTGTGCCGACGATCATGTAGGTACAAAAGCGTGGTGGAATGTACGAAACATCAGATTGTAGGGTTTTCTTTTTCTGATTTCTCCCTTTGGTTAAACATCACATTCAGGTTTAGACTACTCTAAGTAGTGACCCCTCCACCTTGAAAAGCGAGGTCTGTTTGTTGCTTCGATGTGGCTGATGGATAGGTCTATGTCGTGAACGTGACAAATTTTAGGACCACTTACTCAACTTGTTTCCAATGAAATTTTCTTTAGCATGGACCAATCTTTAGATTCTCCATCCATGCACATGATCAAATCATAACTAGTACTTTTTAATATAAGCAATATCCGAGAAGGCGAAACTGAATAGAGGATCAGAGTGCAACAGTAAATCCTCTTAACTGCTTAAGATACAAATTCTAATATTAGGGAATGGAGAGTAGAGAACACGACTAGAGTGGATATGTAAATGGGCTAAACTACTTGAGCTACAAACCCTAGTGTTGAGAGATAAGGAGTAGAACACATGACCGGAGTGCAAACATAGATGTTCTAAACCACTTAAGCTAAAAGCCGCTTCTAATCATAGATAGTGCTTTGAAACTCGACTCATTTATCTCATTATTACTTACAGTTGAAAGAGAGCAGATATTATACATGTAATTTGCATATATGTCTATAGCTATGTACAAAATCATAAACCCCACCCCACCCCATCCCCCCGGGATGATGTGAACAATAATTTGCAGAACCAAAAATTTGGATCATTTGTATAGAAGGTACCTAAAATTAAACTCATAGGGCGTAACTTGGACAAATTGTGAAAGGGGCTCATTTTTCCCTCTTTCAAGAAGCTTGAGTGCTTCTTTTCCCACTTCACTTGGGAGCTGAAGGCAGATCCAATCAAGCAAAGACTCCAAATCCTTAGCAAAATCAAGTAAATACCAATCCAATATCTTTGGAATTGCAACCTTATCTGATGAAATTCCTACTGCAGCTTGCAAGTACTCTATTTTTGCAACTTCCAGTTCATTCTCAACTTGGGATGCAGTGTACACTTTCACCTGTATTTTGGCAGAGCTCATATATTAGTAATGTCATACCGCGTCGATTATTAAATGGTAATTTGACAGATCATTTTATTTCTTCCAAAACTTACCGCAGGGGAAGACCAGCTGCCACATGATAGTGCAAATGTTACCAATGGTTCGGATAATTCCAATCCAAAAGTACTTCTTGCCGTCTTCTCGTCAGTTTTTGTGCCCTTAGAGAAGGTCTGCTCAGGAGTTGATAAAATAATTATAAATCTTCTGTGTTCAATCTTCTATGTGCATACAAGTTGAGGCTACTTACATGTTTTGACTGATACGGCAGTCTCAAGATGAAATGTTCAATAGTTATTGCATTCAGGATGTGTCCTCCAACATTTATTGTTGCCTGAGTCACATGAAATACAACCATACGGTCCATATATGAATTATTGACAAGCAGAAGTAATTTAACAATCTGGTTTGCTGTCATAAACAGGACATATTTCGTACCTTCTGCATTAGGGCTACAATTATCTCTGGACTCTCAGGTATGCCGTGCTCGAGGAAGGCCTGCAGTATTGAACAATTGCAGCAGATGAAACAATTTCTTAAGATAAACAAGACTGGAAACAAAAAATAATAAGGAAAGGAAGACTTGATTACTTAGGCGTAACACCACAAGATTGTTCTGAACTGTTTTAAATAAGAATATCTTTTGATGTCTCTTACATACATTCATCATGCAGGAATTGTAGATATTGATCCAGAAGGCAAGCTTCTCCTGATGACTGAGGCTTTGTAAATTTACAGAAGCAAGTTTCCGAAACAGTAGTCTGCGAATTCAGCAAATAAATATGACTATAAGTAGTCCTAAAATAATCACCATATCATGCAAGAAGGTTGGAAACTAAATCTACATAACAGATTACAAATCAGAGAACTTACTTCAATCTGCGGAGTAGGAACAAAGCATTTGCTCTTCGGTTTGGATTAATATTCTGAGCTTCAATTGCGTGTAATTGCTTATATGGACCGATATCTCTTTGTCCAAATTCCAAACAAATACCATAAGGATCCCAATTTTCTGTTCTTTCATTTTCTGCAGGACCCAGATTCTTAACTGAACTAATTCTCGTGAGAATGCTTGATAAGCACTTGACAATACTTTCTGAAATTTTGTTAGGACTGTCATCTCCTGACAGCTCCTTGTCCGGGATACTAGGAAGTCTTGCTTGTGCACTTTCTTGGTCACGTTTTTAGTTTCTAACTGAACGTACAACACAAGCAAAACAATGTTCATTGCACTGCAAACGAGTGTCAGTAACTTAATGAAATTCGGTAATTTTAGTATGTACCTGAAGTTTTTGAGGCTCTAAATGCTTTTCTGCTGTTCTGTGATCGATTGGAGGTCTCTTCGCTGGAGTCCTAACCTGAGTTTGATGGATCAAGGCTCTGTCGTTGCTCTTCGTAGAATTATTATATGATTGGTTCTCTTTTCCCTGCTTAACATCTGAAACTGAAACTGCAATTAAGAACATTAAAAATCTCATGGCCTATAAATTAGGATGAACATATGGCTTACCAGAACGGGATGGACAATACTTTTCAGTGGAAATGGTAGAATTGTTTCCTCTTTGAGATTGAAATTTGGGATTCTTTATCGGGTGCAAATCAGATGAATCAGCTGATGATGTTTCCATTTTCCTCTTGGAGGTTGAAATGTATACAGCTTCCTGATACAAGTCCTTCCTAAAATGCACTACCTGTTCTTCGAGCCGAACCACCTCCTCTTCCAAAACAGCCACTTCTGCTAGAAGCTCCAACGTCTATAAAATTAAAAATCACAATTAAAATTACTTTAAAACTCCTTTACGTTCATTAGTCCTAATTACTTTCTTTAACTATGGACAATACATTAGTGCAAGATATTCCGCTAAGCAACTACATTATCTAAAAAAAACAAAAAGCAGATATGGGCTTGGCCAGTTGGTCAGAACAACAAACTCTATGCCCCGTAAATTAGATTAGATTGGAATATTGCTTCTACAAAAATAGTGAACACTCACATAAGGAGGCAGATAAGGAGGCAGACGAGGCAGAGCTCCCAAGGGTCTTGTAAATGCCCTCTGCAAAGCTCTGTGTACATTCTCTTCATGTCTAAGCTTCTTCTTCAACTTATCAACCTAAACAAGTTACAATGTTCAACTCAATAATCAATACTAATTAAAGAGAGAGCTTATAAAATCACATAACATACAAATTAAAAGTACTAAAAATATGAATTTCATACATCTTGTTGCAAAGCCAATTTCCTCTCTCTGCTCAAAGCTCTTCCATTGCTGATTGCTTTTCTGGTTTCCTTGATCTCACTCCCTTGCATTTCTACCTTTTCCTTTAAATATACAGCAATTAGCTTCCAATACAAAAAACTGAAGTGGGCAGAGAAAAAAACTTGTAAAATATAAACCCATGTTGGAAATGGATCAAAGAAGCTAAATTTACTTTCTTGTGTTGAAAACCAATCTCAGAATCAGAAGGGTCAACGGAGAATTGGAGAGAAAATGATATAATTTTCCTGAGAAAATTTGTGAGCCAGGAGAGATAACAACTGCTGAGATTCAAGTGGAAGAACCATCACGGAAATCCATCCAAAGATGCCAGAAATTTATATAATATTGGGAGGCTCCAAATTTTGAAGCCATAATCTGCGCTCCATGGCAATGTTTCATAGGCTTCTCCCACAGTGAAAGAAAAGAAAACCTTTTCCGAAAATTATGATTGAAAAAATGTGAAAAAGTGCATAACGTAGTTTAGCTCATAGTTCAAAGTATATGAGTTACTTTTTTATTCTTCTCTAGTGGCTTCATAGACTGTAGCCTTGCCCTCACTCTGGTGTTCATCTTCCAGCTTCTTTTAGTATCTGCAGAAATTGTGATCAAACCAATCCAATATCATTAGAGAAACAAACTTTGAAGTTGGCAAAATTCAATTGAGAAAATGGGAATTTTCTAGCATAAACTCCAAGGTTTTTAACTGTTAGATTGTTCGTCAATGATAAAATGACCAGTACGTAACTGCTTAACACTCTCGAGTATAGGCTACTCTGGAGTATCATAGAATTTTCGAAGAGAATGAGTTGAATTGCTATAAATAGGGACCAGATTCGTACCCTTTTACAGGAAAAAGTTCTTATCTTTAAACAAAAACTTCAATGCCACCAAACGGTAATCGTCTCCAATCCATCTTCTGCCTTCCTCGTTCATGGTGAAGTTAAAAGTGCAAAACTAACCAGACCCATGTCGCAAATTCTTGGGTTTTTGAGCGGGGATGTTCTGGATACGCAGAAAGATTAAAGGGAAGAGAACATCAAAGAGCAATGTGGAACCGTACAAAAACTAGAAGCACAGCGCACTAGAACAATGGTGCTCTCGGACTTCTTTGCGCCATCATGAACCAACGTGCACCTCTCTCTTTTAAGCTCCTGCAACGTAGCACCGACTCTTTTGCCTTTTTAATCACATCATCTTCTCTCTTCCCCTCTATATTTCTCTAGTTCCGAGAATGCCCTGATTCGTGCAATATGTATCAAAACTTAATGGGAAATACACTAGGAGACATAAATTTACCAAAATTATGAAAGTTTGTATTTATGTGTTCATAATTTTAACAAGATGATGTGGTTGACTACTGGGGAAGATAGATTGGATTTATATGTGGAGGTCAAGTGACAAGTATGTTGTGTCGATGCATTAAATAAAAGATTGTGGGGTGTGTTTATTTGAAGGAAAAAGCTGCCCTAAACACGTACTTTTGCCAACTAGCTAAATGGGTTTTAATCATGGAAAAAGAATTAATATATGAGCACTCCTGGATTGCTTGACCATTCAAGATTTGATTCAGAGTTCAGACTTCTTCTTGTTAATTACCATATGTCACCTATTCTTTATTCATGCTTAGTTAATGTTGTGTTATTTAATTTCTTAGGTGCAGACCTCCAAAATTTAATAGATTGGATTTACTTACGTTCTTTTTATTGGAAACTATATATATGATTTTTTACAAATATCGTTACAACTAGATGCCCTTGTTATATATCTTAAAAGTTTCATCGTTCATCTTACTTTTGATTAGAAAGAAGAAGAAACAAGTATTTCTCATTCTCATAAAATCTAATTTGATGCACCGTAAATTTATATTGTTGTGAATAAATCACATTAAGGAACTAAATTAAGAGGCATCGTTTCATTTTCGTCTTAGGCCTCGATTAGTATTGGGACGGCTCTGGACGCATCATAATCGAATTACACTATAGCGATGGTATCCGTCACAATTAGGTGTAAATTTCTCACAAACAAGTATAGTTTTTGCACTTGAGAATAAACAGATGAGTTATTTAGTTAACACTAACATTTTGATGGCATCAATCGAATGGTTAAATGATTCTGATTTAATTGATTTTTGTGCAAAATTAATCTGTAAAGTATAAAGGGAATTTTGCACAAATACCACATGAACTTGAAAGCATGCATGCAAATACCACCTGAACTTTTAATTGTGTGTGTTTTACCACCTGAACTTTATTAATTGTTGGAATCCACCACCTACCGTTACTTTCCATCCATTTTACTGTTAAAACATTTGACTTGTGAGGGCATTTTCGTCAAATAACTTTTTAGTCACATTATACGGCATCCGGAGGGAGGGTTAGTAGGATACGAGGGTTTCATGGAGAGAAAGAAAAACAAGTTTGATTTTGGCAAGAATTGTTGAAGAATTGAAGAAAAAATTAATGGTTGGCAAGTATAAATTAACAAATAAACAATTTATATTATCATTCAACAAACAAAATAAACAAGAGAACCAAAAAGATGAAACAAGAAAATCCGACCTAGAAGGCCTTTTACATCCCCTATAAAAATTTCCAGCAACATATAATAACGCTTAAGAACTTAAGATTGTGATAAGAGATGATCAAGCACATATTGGAATTGGTGCACTGAAGGGAAGCTATCATGATGTTGGTGGCGGTTGAAATTACAAATATGTGAGTATATCAGTAAAATCATGTATCCTCACTCCAAAGCAATCCCAACAGATGGCCAATTAGAAAAGGAAAACGAAAATTCCCCGGAAATGATCCAAAAGTTGAAAGAAAACAAACGAAAAAAAATAAAAACTATATGATATGGACACGGCACTAGATCCACGTGAGAGTGACTACCAAGTACAATTTGGTATGGCTCAGATTCGTTTAAAAGATTAAAATTGTCTTTAAAAAAAATATTTTTAGAATTAATCTTTAGTAAAAATATAAATGAAATTAAAAAATCACTTGAAATATTTTCTACAAATAACACATAATTGGTGCACTTTGTAAAAAATATTTCAAGTATTTTTGGAATTCAAAAATATTTTTTCTAAAAACACTTTTAACGAATAAGTTTGTCTAGTTATCAAGTAATTTATCAACTAATAATTTAGTTAAGTAATGCTTTTATTATCAACCCTTAATTATTAATTAGTTTAGTTGTTCATTATCGAGTAATTTATCAACTCATAATTTAGTCGATTATTGTGAAATGATCTTAAGCAAGTAAGCAAGCTGTCCTGGAAGGGTAATTTCATCATTTTACTTGTAGGACCAACGAAAACGTAACGAAACAAAACTCAGATCAGCTATACCTTTCGTGCAAACTATTTTTCCTCTAAAAAAATAGGAGATTATGTCCTTTAGCTTCTTTGATATAATCATTCAAGAAATGTACGTACGTAAGGTGGACAATATTATGTAAATGTCATTTTCGGCTGCCATCAAATTCATTACTATCTAAATAATTGAATCAAGCTGTTCAACGTGATGCCAATGTGAAGTAACTAGTATGAAAGCCGGTTTAGAAATTATAAAAGTCCAGGTACCCTTTATTTTAATAAATTTATATTATAATTGTTAAAGTTTATTGTCAAATGAATACATGAGAACGACGACATTATAAAATGTTTATTACACAACCAACGTTGATTGTGACACAACAAACGTTTTATTGTAGTATAGATGTAAGCTATTATTAGCGGACATCATAAAATCACTATGATCGTTATTTGCTATTGGACTCCCTACCTTCACATTTAATGGTGTTACAACATCACGTTTGTTGGAGAACAAGATCCCACAGTCATATGATAAAATAGTATACAATTAATTATTAGAGCTTTCATTCCTAATATTACTGAGGCCTTTTGCGATAAAATCAAACATTTGATAATAAGTGGTTAAGTTGGAACAATATTGATGATGTTGATGGTGGACCATGATGTGCCTATGAAGTTTATCAACGTTAACATTCAACATCTGTATTACAATAAATGTATAATAGTATAATATAACATATATTATCATTTTTATTACTGTGAAATATTGATTCTTATATTATAACGTCATATTAGTATATAACACAATAAAAGTAGGACGTGACACGTGAACATCATTACATTACAAAAACTTCGTTTGATTAAAAAGCTTGTTTTTAAATTTATCATACTAACCTTTTTTTTAACAATTATATTTCTCTTGGTTGTCGCTAAGAATCCTATAATTTGTTTTAAATTGTGTATATAACAGATTTGCTGCTGTTTTGATCCTCATATTCTAGTTCCATGCACGTTATTCCAATAATATGTATTGATTTTCTGGTTTGACCAACCATAAACAAAATGAAAAACTACGGAAATTAAATATAACAATTCTTGGGCATTAGATTCTACCTATTTGATAAATCCCCACAATTAAGAATCGTTTGGGGGGCATCAGACACATAGAAACTGTTGCTTAACCGACCATTCTCTTTGGCAAAATAAATTACAATTTTAAAGAATCCAATTTTAAAAACAGAAAAATTACTACTATTATAAAAACTAAACATATCAAATTTCTAATCTGCGTGAAAAGGATTTGCCATGAAAGGAGAACATGCTCCAAAATGGTCCATAATCTTTGATTAATTGGTAGTGGTGTCCCTTCTTCAACCGAGAGCCTTTATATACCCCACTGACTCAGTGGCACTGACCACCCCGCAAGTCATTTCTTGCACAAAGCCATCTACTCAGCCATGTTTTCTATAAGTGCTCATTTTTGTGGTATTTTTAAGCTTTTCAGAGTGGGGCCTTTGATGAGCACTGAAAGTTGATCATTGAGGCCTATCCAGATCTCAGAGGTTTTATCTAATTCATTTTCTCCTCTCTTATTTGTTTCCATAATTACCATGTAGCTGTAATAAAACTAACACACTTTTTTTATATTTCATTAATTGGAGGTTTCAAACTCTCGACCTAGTCTAGTCCTACTCATCACTCTACCCACTTTCACCGTTAGGCTAACCCCAATACCTTAAACTAAAACACTTTCATAATGCCAACCAAACAAAACCGGATTTGCAGTAATCTCCAATTGTAACATGTCATCGCTCATTCCTCACAAAGATATGTATTAATTGTATGTTTTGAGTCATATCGACTTGTTAGCTTTCAACTTCACAATTAAACCCGTCATACTTACGAAGATGTCATCTATAAACATATAAAGCACAACACTAGGGTTACAATCCACCTTCAAGGGAGGGCCTAACGTTCCTGTCAGCACACTTCCGATCAAGTCCAGCTGTAACTTCCCTCCTAAACCAATGTATGTATAAATATCTCCGAAATTTATACGTGATAAAAAATTATGAAACTAATCAATAATTTTTTTTTTTTTTTTCTGGAATACTGGGAACAATAATTTCATTATGAAGAGCAAAGTACAATCATTCTGGAAAATGATGGTTGAGAAATTAGGAAATACATGGCATACAAACTAACATAAAATGTTGGTCCAAAGCTGGCTGTGGGCTTGATGGGTAGCTGGTCCTACCATCCTTGCATGCTTAATTACTGAGATGAATCTGCTCTAGGGTTTCTGGGGACTTTTTAGGTACACATCTAACCAAAATAGGAAGTGAGAAATGTATTTTTGCAGTACTAGTAGTTCTGATAAAAGGGAAGAAGAAAACAAGCTACATGTTTAAAAGTTTATTTTCCTCTTTTTTCTAGGTCCACCATATAAGAAGCTACATGTTTAAAAGTCTATTTTCCCTCTTTTCTCGGTGTAGTTTGTATTTTAATTAAGGTCAATTGATGTTTGGCACTGTTAGAGCAGCCGAAGCGACACCAATACATATCCGCATCATTGAATTATTGAATAAAATAGCTAGCTCAAGATCGATATATAATTGTGCTTTTAACCAGAATAAAGGGAGAGATTTGGTATGCTTTTTAGACTAGGGTAAAACAATTCACCAGGATTTGTTCATAGTTCTTACAAGGACAAAAGTTTGCCAGCTAGCTGGGCCATTTTTGTATCCTTTACTCTACACTGTGTCTTCTAATAACAAGACAAAGCATATCTCAATGTGTACTTCATACTAAAAAATGCACACTATATTTATAAATACGTCGTATTTATTATTTAATTATGATGGAAGGTTGGTGATATCATTTCTTTATTTGTTCATGTATTATTAATAGTTGAGGGGACATTAGGAAGCCCCATCTCTGTTTAAAAGAGATGTACACTGCATGTTGCATGGAT